CTCTCTCTCTCTCTCTCTCTCTCTCTCTCTCTCTCTCTCTCTCTCTCTCTCTCTCAACTCTTGGGGCACTTTTGCTGACCTACTGGGGAAGTTCCCTTATTGTCAAATATGAGTATGGGGAGTAGATAATGGCATCCCCTCCTTAATTAGGATACATTGTTGGCTTGGCCACATAAGAACATGTGCTTGTCTATCATGGCACAGTTACTGGCACCCTTACCCTATGTCTTCTAGGAATGCTCTTTTATTCCCCTCTATTTCTTAGACAATTCTTTCATATTCATCCTTCAAGACTCAGCTGAGATGTCACCTCTTCCGGAAAGCTTTCCTGGAGTCGTACAAGCAGTGTTAGTGTTAGTGGTTCCTGCTTCTAGGCCTTCAAAGCAGTCTTCAAAGTGACTACCACACTTGATCCTCAACAGAAACCATACTTTCTTTGAGGTTTCCTCCACCCCCAGCCTCCAAGAGATCCTTTAGGCTCTATTTTTATTTGCACAACTATTGCCTGCAACAGTACCAGTTTACCAGATGGGCATTTTCCCAGGGGAATAAAAACCTATATTTGTATTTGAAATCTCCTGATTTTTAAAATTTAGCAACTACTTCAGAATGCTTAAAGTTGTGCTGGACAAACTTAGCATGTCTTCAGCACAGATTTCATCCACTAGCTTTCCTTTTTTGCTCATACCTCACTTTTTCAGGCAACTAAGCAAGCTGTATCTTCTGACTACTTGCGCTGGACAAAGGTTGGTCCTAGGGCTAGGGATGTGGCTCAGTGATAGAGCACTTGTCTAGCATGTGAAAGGCTCTAGGTTCAATCCCCAGTACTATAAAACAACAGATTTAAAATGTCAGAATAGGGCTGGGGATGTGGCTCAAGTGGTAGCACGCTCGCCTGGCATGCGTGCGGCCCCGGGTTCAATCCTCAGCACCACATACAAACAAAGATGTTGTGTCCACCAAAAACTAAGAAAAAATAAATATTTAAAATGTCAGAATATTTGTATATAAACTACAGACATTCTCCTTTTGGTTGTGGTGTTCTGTTTTTGTTCTGGGCCATGCTGGGGATTGGAACCCAGTGTCTCATGCATGCTAGGCAAGCCACGCTAGGTAAGTGCCTATCATTGAATAATATCTCCAGCCCCCTCCTGTAAACTTTCAATCATCTTGAGATTACTTATAATACCTAATACAATGTAAATGCTATGTAAATAGTTATTATAGTATACTGCTTAGGGAATAATAACAAGAAAAAAGTCTGTACAAGTTTAGTACAGACTTTTTAAAAAATATTTTTGATCTGTGGTTGGTTGAATTCCTGGATGGGGAATGCACAAATATGGAGGGCTGACTGTACCAGTTATTAAAGGATCAGCCACCTCCCAAGAACTAAAGTGTGTAATCTGTTTCTATCTGCAAAATTCCATGATCTCCCTCCAGTATTCTTTCTGTACTTCTGAAGTTTGCCTACTTTTTTTTCCCTGTAGAGAGCTCATCCATGTTTACAGATTTAGCCACCAGTTCAGATCCCCATCACTCTCTTGTCCAATGTGTTCCAGTGTTGTGCACTGTTCACCAAATGTCAGAATTGTCCCATTTGTTTTCTCTTCATTAATCACCAGGATATGTTGAATTTTCATTAATCACTGGATTCTTTATGTCTCCTTTTCCTTCTATGGTCATTAACCC